GACAAATTTTTCTAATTCGAGTATCCGATTTTTTACAAGGGTTTTTCGACTTTTCTCCTTTACACTTGCATCTGGAATCAAAAACAATTTAACTGTTCCGTTGAGAGCTTCCTACGTTCACATTCTTCGTGTACCAAACAGGTAAGAAGACTTATTTTTACATATATACTTTGGACTATATACTGTATTTTTTCATTGAGCGTCTCTCCCGGTTCGTCTTCTTCAAAATGAGAATGAGAAGTTTCATAAGAGTCGGATAGCACGTCGATGTCCATTTAACAAAGCCTGGATACGACACGCAACATCGATAAATACGCGTACTGCAGATCACGTTGATTGACATTACATAACGTATGCACTATTTGGATTTTAACAGTTTGCACTGCTACAGCTAGCCATTTTATCGAAAATGACCAAGGCTACAGAAACTGCAACTTTTTTTGCAATAATTTCAACGATATACTTCATTTTCCTCTTCGGAATTATTCCCTTGCCAGAAATCATTCAACAAGAGATTTTACCTGTGGTAAATTTATCATTTTGTCTCGATGTTGTTTGTTCGTGATCATCCTGCGATTTATCAAAAAAAATTTTTTTTTTTATTAGTTACCGTGGTGGGCGCTCATAACTTTTGGATCATATTCGCTTGGAAACATCGGATACCATGTATATAGGTTTAGAGATTGCGAAGATGCATATCACGAATTGATGGCGGTAATTATTTTTTTCAAATTTTCATATATTTAGCTTCCAGTCTTCTCTGATCAAGTATTATTATCTTCTTCAAGGAAATTCAACTTGCCAAAGAGGATCTAAGGAGCAAAAATGTTTCAGTTGATTAACATTTGAATTCCATTTTGCGATGTCAACGCACATGACATTAAAGATGCTCAAATGGATGTTCCCTTTTGATAGACTGAAGATAACGTATTAAGTGTAAAATAGTCTATAAATAATTTCCCGGTGTCAACAATTTCTTGTGAGATTGTTTACGGATTTTCATGGTGGGATATTCAAAAAATTAGATGGTAGATATTAATTAATCACTGTGTTAATACGTAATTGTTTATATCAATGATCAGCCTGTATAGTTCTTAAGTAAATGAAATGAGAATCATTTTCAAAAACTATTTCGATGACAATATTTAAAACAGCGAATGACGATTATACAGAAAGTTTTCTTCACTCTACAGAGTATTTCTATAAGTCTAATCCATAATGTTCCTCCAAATGATCGACGATTGCAGGTATACTGGTTAACGTGTTAAAAGTTTTTCGCTCAGCATTGCTCATAACATCTTCGAACATGTACATCCTAAAGTTCAAATCGAATATCAGCCTTCATTCCACCGCAAAATTCGTCAGAAACGATAAAAACATTACTTACAAATGATGATGAAAAATGAAATGATTGGTTCCATAGTTCAGAGATAATTCGACAAACTTTCTTATACACTCCCAAGGTGTACTCTCGAACCCAGCGAAAAGTGCCGGATTCTTCAACAAACCTCGCGCGCTCATCACACCATCACACTTGGTACTCTCATATAATTTTTCCGCATCCGTCAGGGAAAATATGTCTCCATTAGCTATTATCGGGATGTTTAATGATTCCTTGCATAATTTTATCGCAGGGATGTTAACGGGTGAGGTGGATTTTTGACGACGCGTTCTACCATGAATTGCAATGAAATCCAATCCTATTGACTCGGCGCGTTTTGTAAAGTCCACGGTCTTGCTATTGTCGTATAATTATGCATATGAATAAACATATGTAACCCGTGTTTCGGTGGAAATCATACTTACCGCAAATCATTATGAATCCGGATCTTGATAGAAATTGGAATATTTAAACCACCACCTTTGATCGTTCTAATCATGTCTCTAACGGTCTCTGGATTCTCCATCAGATGGACACCGATGCCTTCGTTGATTGCCCATTTTTGAGGGCAACCGCAATTTATGTCTGAGGTAAATTTTTTTCGATGAATGTGACACGATGAGTGCCAGTGATCACAGCGAACGACACGCGAACGTGAACGACATACCAATTCCATCGACATATCCAACCACGAATTCCACCGCCCTCAACAATTCCACCCCATCATTACTCGCAAATTGTATGATCAATGACGTGTCGCTTCGATTCGTGGTGAAATCAGAATCCCTTGCCACCCCCGAATTCTTAAATTCTTTTGCCAAGATCATCGGCGTGTATGCCAAGTCTACTTTATAACTAATCGTTTTATTTAAGTTTTGGAACTTAGGAAAATTGTTGATGACAATGCCAATTCTCTTTCGGTCTTCCTACAAACTTACTTCCTGATCAGTTCTCGGAATGGCAATTTACTATACCTCACCATTGGCGCGCACACATTTATGTAGGATTTCGTACGATCGTTAAATAGCGCCATCGGGGAAGTACGCTGCGGCGTTGCTTGTTGAGAAGACATGATGATCGCATGCCAAAAACACTGGAATTTGATCTTCAAATTAAAATATTAATTAATTTGGTCACAATCTTGTTGCACCTATTAAATTCCGTATTGTTGTCATAATCTTTATTGTACTTATTAATTCAACAAATAACTTAATAATTCAACACTATATTTTCGGGCATTATTTTATTAGGTTGAATATGACAATAATGATTAATTTGCCAGAAATTTTTTTTTTATACATGAATTAATTAATTTAAAGATTTTTATGAAAAAGATTTTTTTTAAATCCTCAAAGATGTCTTGAATAATTTGCTATAAATTGTTACAAGCACCTTAATAATAAGTTTATGAAAAGAGACGCATGACATTACACGTCAGTTTGATTCCCAATTTTAATAGAGGAAGCTAATTGCTCTTAAACTATCTATTTATTTTATTTTTTTTTTTTTTTAGAAAGTCTAGTAGTCTTTCATTAATTTATTGTTAAATCTGATGTGATCACGAGACATGTGGCATGTATTCATCGTAATCCCCCTGCGCAATAAACCGCAAGGATTAATTTAGAATAATTAAACGTTGTTATAATAATGTTTTTTGAATAGTTGCAATGCTGCCAAATGTACATCTATCCTCATATGATATGTAGTTATCGAAATTTACACACTCGATGTTTATTGTGACAACAACCATGCTTTTATATATCCTCTTTTTGCTTTTGAGAATTTTCTGCTTCTTCCATTAGCCAACATCTAGACGAAATTCGGCACACCCGACATGCATCTTTTACGTGCAATTGCAGTGCAATTGCCTTAAAGATTGTATCGACAATTTCAGCACGTAACAGCAGCGAGTGCTTTCCTCCTTCTATTAAAGTTAATCCGCAATTAGGCATGCTTTCTTCCATCCATTTCACAGCCGCTACTGGGATCCGTTCGTCTTTCGTACCATGGAAGACGTGCACCGGATGGTTAATATCTGCATAGGAAAATCCGAAAGAATGGCGTCGCTCAAAACACATGAGTAAATCATTATTTGCTCCGGTCAGATTTTCAGAAAAAGAGGCTTTCAGAATGGCCAGACCCAGCTGCTGCTTTCTCTCGAGGCTTGACATCTGAGATAGTGCACTCGGATTCTTGCTTGGCTTGGTGGAATAGGGTTGTCGACCGTGGAGCATCTGTTGAAGCGAAATGCCGGCACTATTGGTAAACTTCATAATGGGTGTTGGGACGAATCGTAACCATTTGAAGTTATTTGCTATCGTGGTGCTGACCCAAGGGCAAACGAGATATATGGTCCCTTGTAATCTTTCGGGTATCTTTACAGCACAAGACAAGGCGTAGGGAGCCCCAGCACTGTGCGCCATGATAAAAAATTTTTCGATTCCAAGAATTTCACAAAGTTCTTCGATGACCTCTACATGAATAGAATCGGGTTATTGACATGACGAACGTGATTTATGTCATAACTCAAATCACAAGCATACCTGGCCACTTCAGCACTTGTTGATCTTCGACCTTCACATCATCTGACAATCCAACGCCAGGTCGATCGGGACAGATCAGTCTTAGACCATAACTGGATGCCAAATCATCAAAGAAAGCGATAAAGTACCTCACGCAACCCATTCCCAAAAATACGAATACGGGAAATCCATTTCTATCACCAACTTCCGAAAAACTAACTACCCGTCCGGTTTTCAGTCTTACACGTTGGGTCAATCGTGGAGCTGCCAAAAAGGCTGTAATGTCTAATGAACCATTGTCCTCGGTTACATCTTCACTTGGCGATATCGGAATTGTTGATGGTAAGTGAACGGCAGAAGATGAATTTAACTTTGAAGGAGAAGATGTCTCGGATGAAGCTTCCGATGTTATTGTGACGGACGGCAAGGTCGGTGAGACATTCGAGAGGTCATCGGAAGAATCTTTATCATTGGATTGAAAGACAGGTTTTATGTCCAAATTTAGTGTTAACGGGTTTATTAGGTCGCCTGCTGTGCTAGATGTTAGCCGTGTTTGCGACGAAAGCGAAGGTGCTTTATATGGCGGTAATGCGGATTTTGGCCTCGAGGAGGTTTTTTCTTTTGGTGAGGAAAGGGTGGTTGCAGTATTTTGTTTAGAAGCGAGTTGTTTCAATTTGGAAGGTTTGTCAATGGTTTTGTTAGATAACGAACGACGAATCGTTTTCGCCAAACTGCTACGTTTATTGATAGCAGGTGTGTTAAGGGTGGCTGAAAAAGTCGAACAATCTAATTCTGATTCCATGTTTTGTGACTAAGTGTAAGCATAAATATATAAGTATATATTTATAAATATATATCTTGTATACTACTCCGGTGCTGTCCGTGGTCTAATAAGATGTCAGTTATAAAGTATTACCATTCAAAAAAAAATCGGTATAACTGAGAAATGTCAACTGGTTAAAAGTTATCTTCAGAATCTTTACTCTGTCCACTATATTCGCTCACTATATATTATATATAGCTTATATTACACGGATATCTTTGTTAAAAACGAAGAAAGAATATAAGGATAAGAAACCGTTTTTCGCGTTATTTAGACAATGTGATTATGCAAGAATTTTACACTAATTAAAACAAGGCATGAACTTGAGAATAAGGATATAGTCAGATATAAAAGGAAAAGAATACATGAATAACAGACGTACGTGTTTGTGCAACTAAGCGATAGGCTCGGGGAGAATTCATTTATCGGCTGCGTAACATGAAAAACATGACGTAACAGGTTATTTCCACCAGTCAATTAATAATCTCAAACATTTTTCCCAACACACTAAAATTCTCAAACAGTAAATCAACACTTGACTACCAGTACAAAAAGCGATGAGTCACTGCAGGGACGAACATGATTCTCACGAACACGGGCATGGACATGATCACGGTCATTCCCATGACCATGACCACGATGATCCAAATCGAGGAGCCGAGGATTCACTTTATTCGCGCGTCGATCGTGACAATGTCCGTTGTTTGAATGAAAGGGTATCCGGTTCGGGGAAAAACGTTATTAAACCTTGGCACGAAAGAAATGACACAACTAAGGTTCGGTTTGAGGACGATCTTAGTTGAGGTTTCAGATCGTTCGTGACCTACAGTCACCAAGTTACACAATGCATTTTATACAGTATGTGGAAAGTGACGCCGACGAACAATTGATCTTACTTATCCCGTGAGTTTTCTATGACTTTAAATCGACGTGGTTATAAAAATTTCAAAAATAAACACTTCCGCCGTTCATATCAGTTTCACAGGGAGTGTTAAATTGAAATCAATTTCGATCAAAGCCGGTCCGGAGAACAGTTGTCCATCGAAATTAAAGGCGTATGTAATTCTCGCGTTTTCATCATCACCCACATTCCTCCTGATTGATTATTACATCAATCGTGTAGTTACATCAATCGAGACGACGTTGACTTTGATACAGTCGAATCATTCACAGCGACTCAAGAGTGGGAATTGGTATCAACCAATGAAATCGTTGAATACCCAACGAGGTGACTTTAATAATTGTTTTTTTTCCCAATGTTTTTTTTTTTTTGATGCTATGGTTAAAATACTTTTCACATGACATTAGGATGACTAAAATGTACAACGTAAGAAATTTAATCCTCTATTTTCCCGAAAACTTTGGAGACGAAATTACAAGGATCTCGTACATTGGACTTAAGGGGGAATGGACAGAGGTGAGTGAATAAAGTGGGAAGCCTTATATCATTACCAAGGGGAAACAATGAATATCAGTGAAAAACGTACGTGAATGTTGCAATTAACACAAACCTTGACCAATGTAGATCAAGAAAGATCAAATTATAACCATATATGAAGCGGCGCCTAATCCCGCAGACCATAAAACTGGCGAAGAAGAGAGAGTATACCACCCCATTAATTAAATTAATTAAAGAGACCTCTTACAAGAAAATACTGCTTTTATTATGACTGATTAAAATGAGAGATTTCTAAATTCACATTAGAACGTTTTTTCTAATCTAATGAATGACGTGTTGAATAAAAAATATATTAGAAATATTTCTACACGATTAATGTCTATTATTTTTTTTCTCTTGAACACGAATGACTATTATTGATTATTGTCATTGCTCTAGGGATGCGTTTTTAAAATTTTTATTGGTATCATAGGAAAGGATGATGTACTAATAAACATTCGTGAATCACATCGAATTCCAGAAATTTTTCCGCAAAGGCGAACATCACGACACAAGTATACGGAGGGAACTTATTAAGCAAAGAGATGTAATTACATACCTCTTCTAGGCGGTGGAACGTATAAAGTCTGATGGTTGTTTTTCGCGCTGTTTCTATTGAGCTTGGAAATTCTTCCGTTGCTACCTCCGTTCCTAAAATTGTTATTGCTCAAGCCACTATTCCTAGTATTACTAAACGTTTGACGATTTTGATTATTGCGAGGTAAAGCATTTTGAGGTGGCTTGGGAACTGCGGACTTTTGCGGAAGTTTTATGGTCGATTTCTCTTCAGTTGTACGACTTTTTTTATTCGGTGTACCGTCAACCGGCGACACGGATTCAGCGGTACGTTTTGCTGAGGTTTGAGGTGCCAATGGTGTATTGGAAGTCAAAGACTGCCATGAATGTTGGACCTTTGTGAAATGTCTCGCTTTCGCAGGTTTCATCAATTCCTTAAGGATCAACGAGAAATAGGTGAATTCCGAAATTCGACAAATTAAAAAATTTTATTAATGTTACCTTTATCATATTCAAGATATTGTTGGTGACGATTTGACCACTTTCTGCTTTTTTAATTTTCTACGATATATTTGAAGAATTAACGAAACACGATGATAATAGAATGAAATTAAATAAGGTAGAATGAATCAATGCTCACCTCCAGTGTTTCCTGATCCTTTGGTTCTCGGTTTTGCAGATCTTTCAAGCCTTGCTTGATGCGTGCTATGCACTTATGAGAGACAACGTAAAGGTTCTTAAACCTGCACATACGAGTTTACAGCAGATCAGTTTCCATTGTCGTGATTGCGCGTGTGAAAACCAAAATAACCAACCGTAAGGAAACATCTTCTCCTTCGACAATTTCGGGAATCTGCATTGCATTGTGATGATATCGAGTTAAACTCGTACAACAAGGATGATTTCGTGACGTTTAACCAACCTTTGAAGCAATACAATATAACGTGAATACAATGTATTCGACCCTTGGTAAGTCTAATTTTGGTTCGACTTCAACGTCATCTCCCGCAGGAGGTATTTCGCTCTGTTCAATATTCGTATCAACATTAGTGTGACATGAAATCGGAAAATAACGCGATGAATTTATTACGTACAATAAACAACTCCTTGATTATCGGAGCTGCACTTTTGATCGTTGCCTCAGTGTGCTTTCCACTAATACAATCCGCCAGAAATCGCAACATACTTTTCTGTTGCTTTTCTTGTAATCGGTTGAACTTATCCTTGGGTAAAACTTTATTCACAAGAAAGGCGAGGAATGGCGTACTCTTGACTCCTTTCTATCCACAAATTGAAGTTTCTTAAAATAATTTCTTTTTCTAAAAAAAAGGAACCTTTCAAAATTTTTTACCTCAAAACATGGCATCAGTGTTTTACCGCATAAAATAAACTTTTGAACTTTTACATAGTTAGTAGGCTAAATTATATTAAAAAGCGGTTTCATGTTATACAATAGAATGTTTCTATGATGGCAGATTTTAGATATTACCAAGCATACGAAGAAAAAAAAATCTTTACATCAAGGTCCTCGCTCTCGGTAGCAATCGATTCAATCAATACATTTATCAATTCTTTCAAGTTCTCTTTTTTCTCTAATTGATACATCTTGAGGGATAAAAGCATCTTTAGGAAAGTCTCAAATTCTGACAAAGTAGAGTCACGAAGTGCCTATTGAGTCAATTTGAAATTTACAATCGATTAATCTTCATTCGAAATAATGAAATCAAAAGAAAGCATTCATACCTTTTTCACTTCATTGGCAAAGCAGGCTTCAACGTCATCTCCTTTCTCAAATAGATCGTTTTTGAATCGATTCAAGTCATTGGATAGAAAATTAATCGTCCTATTACGGACTTCAGTGGAACCCTTTAATGATTGTTGAAATATGGCGACAATGGAATCGCGAGGTGATAACCGAATTACTTGCTCTAACGCCTTCTTTACGGCGGCTATTTCCTGAGATGTTTCTGTGAAGATGTAATTCGGTTACAATTGATAATAATTCTTTGCATGAAAAGTTTGATAGTAGATGATAAGCTGTAACTAATATCTAATATTTTACCATTTTGTAGTAATTGTACTAATGCATCAGCAATTCGTACCGCAACCTTGTCAGATTCTTTGACAACATTGGGTAAGTATTTTATAACAGTCAATCGCACCTTTTGACAGTCAACAATCGTACAGAAATTCTATCAGTCTTCTCGTTAAATCAAAGCCAAAATGGTGCGCTAATCATAAGGGGCGTACATTCAAATCGGTATCCTCACACAGATCAAATAAGGCGTCGATGGCTGCCTCGTTAAGGTCTGGAAATTTGCCAAAAAATCGCGGAATGAATTGTGCGGCGAGACGCTTACAGTTACTTTCGCCATGCGCGCCAGAGATTACTATCTCGTATGATTTCTTGACCTTTTCATACAAGAATAAAGGTTAGAACGAGCATCAGGCAACCGTAGGAAAAGAAGAATTCCCTTACTTGTTCAAAATTGGAACCGGCTTTGTCGATTTCTTCGTAAGCTTTATATATTTCTTCAACGGTGGTCTTTGCCATTTTTTATATGGTATAGTTCGTCTTGCTGCAGATCTTTCGAGATTTAACAAACTACTCTTCGTGGTTTTGGGTGGGGTATATTGCTTTTACAAAGTTGTATGTATTCAGGTTAACGATCCGTAAGGGTAGCCTTAATTTCGTGCTATCTTGCAGAGCTGAAAGGAAAAGTAATGACGAAAGAAATCTCACTACGTATCAACTTACAAGTAATCACGTTATATGATTGCGTAAGTTGAAAAATAAGACGTGGCGAGCGTCAAATCTTTGGTCAGGCATCCATTTCAATGTCACCTTAACATGCATAAACACACATATTACGTAATTAGTCATGTGGTCTGAAAATCGTTCAATATTTATCAAGTCGTTTATTTATGTGTATCGAAGAGATTCATAAACAATATATAATAATAATTTTTATAAAAAGTGAACATTTTTAATATTCAAAATTTGTATTATGCGTTCTTCATCTATTATATGTATTATAATAATATATTTTTTTTTTGAACATCTTTTTAGAAAAAATTGATAATGGATATGGCTAGCGATTAAGCGAAGCGAATGCACGAGTGACGCTGCGCTGTAATTTTTTCTTCGTAGCGTTAATTTCTTCTTTGCCAACAGAGTCGTTGGCAATGTCAAGAAATTCGAGCGCCTCTGAAGAAAAATGAACCAATAGAGTCAAATATTATTCTTATTATAATTATAATAATCCAAATTTTTCAATAAAGAACGATTCAAACCTGAAAGTGCCTTTTCGATTGATTCCTTGTCATTTCGTTTCAGTTTCATTGCAACATTGGGCTCATTAAGTGTATTCTCAATCTTTTAATCAAAGAGAAAATAATCTTTCAGACTCCAAGGTTTTCCTGTGACGGTTAAAGTTTGAAAATGAAAATACCTGATAAACATAATTCTCGAGATCCTGCTTGGCTTCTACCTTTTCTTGACTCTTTTTATCTTCTTCTTTGAATCTTTCCGATTCCCCTATCATGCGATCGATGTCTGCCGCTGACAGTCGACCAACAGAATTCGAAATTGTAATGTTTGCCTTACGACCAGTTGCTCTATCTTTTGCCGTAACTTTAAGAATGCCATCCGCATTGATATCAAAGGTGCATTCGAGTTC